TAAATAATCTGGTTGATATAGTTCCTTGTTTTAACTTTAACATCCGGAAGATAATTTAGTTTTTTGTTTTTTCTCATATCTTTCGCTGTTATACAAAGGCTAAGAGTCGCGACAATTTAATTTTGCCTCTTTTTAGGCCCGATTTGCAAAGAGTGATAGACGTATTGTGGAGGAATCGTACCGATTACTTGTTCCTCCTCTGTTCGGGTGACTGTTGAATCAGGTGTACTTTTAGAATCACCTGAGCGTTTGGTCCATCGAAAGAGATTTGGGTTTGTGACTACTCAGTTTCATTTTGATATAGTTTCTTAAAAGCAACTAGTCACTTTTGTTTAAAACGCTTTCTCATTTTTAAGGGCAGATTAGTAGGTGCTGGGAGTTATCATTTTTGTCTTGAGTTTTTCTGCTTTTGTAGTATCATTGTCTCTAAAGCGGTTCTGTTTGCTGCAGCGAAAATTGATAATGGAAAACTGTATTGTTGAAGAGAGTTCCTGCCTATCCAAAGTTTTAAGAGGTCTTCAGATTGTTTTTATTTCATTTTTGTTTTGACAGTACGGCGCTGGGTTTTTTTGCGGGAATTGTATTTTCCAGGTTTAGAGCAAAGATTTTTTTTTGACTATGTAAAAGCCATCTTCGTAGTCAGGTCCCTTTTTCGCTACTTCCTCCTTTATTCTTCAATCTAATTTTTTGATGAATTGAGCTTTTAAATCATTACCAACCACTTGCAGGCAGTCATTTTTCTTCATATTACAAGTACATTTATCGGACCTTGAGTTGATATTTTAACTTTTTAATTTATTTAGGCTCATATGTTATCTCTCCTTACTTTTTACCCTATGCTTTTTTTCAGTAAAGTGGAACTATCCGTCTGTATCTGTCATCCTCACTAGGTTAAAAAAAGTTTCAGTTGAGGATGTTTAAATTTTTTTTGTGGTACGTTGTTGTCTGGTCAGTTTGTTTTGCCTTTCGCAAGACGGGTCATTTTGTTTATAGTTTAGCAGTAGTCCTGTAGTTCCAGATTATAATAAGCGTTACTGATTATTTTGAGTGCCAAATTGAGTTTGACTGATTTTTGAATAGTGGCAATAAGCTTATTTTGTTTGGTGTTTCCTTTTTATGTTTTTCATTCATTTAATATAAATTAATTTTTGATGATTTGAAATGTGAAAACATGAAAGCTTATAAATATTGGATTGCTTATGGTATCACTTTTCATTATTTGTTTTCTTCAACTAGTATTCTGCTATGTAAGATGATGAGAACATTTCACAGATCTTGTTTTATAAACGTGTTTAGATGCCTCTCACTAAACGTGCTGTTTCACCAGTGAACGTAAGCCTTCATAGAATACCAGGATCAGTTCAAAAGGATGAACTTGAATGCGTTGCAAACGGGACTTTAGCGAATTTGGTTAGACAGCTCAGTTCAATTAGTAGGCACGCAGAAAACATTTTTGGAGAGATTTACCATGAAGCTGTGAAATTGGACCACAAGTCAAACACTTTAGCTCAGAGAGTTGAGAGATTAACTACCAAAGTTACTCAACTAGATGGTATTCAAGAACAAGGTAAAAGTTTTAAGATATCAAAACCTTCTGTAGTTATGTCTTATTTTTGTCTCCACTGTTTGTTAAAAATTTTTTTCTGCCATATTTTACATGGCATAGTGGAAGCTTCTAATTTTTGCTAGGTTAGAGGTCTAAACCTGCCGGGTGTTACCTGCTTTTTTTGGTTTACATTCCAACAGTTTTCTGTGATTTACTCGTTCAAGTCGAGAATTTTTTTTTTGGATAATCTGGGGATTCCTTTTTTTCCAATTCGCCTTGGTTTTTTGCAGTCTGGTAAATACCTGGACTTTTATAGTTTTAGGGTAGAATAAAGGAGTTGGAGGTTTTTGTTCTATATATACTCATCACCTTCATTGAGAAAAATTACTTTTCTGCTC